GTCCTAACCCCCCCCCCCACCCAGTACCTCAGAATGGGACTGTATTTGGAGATAGGGTCTTAAAAGATGTAAGTTAGAATAGGTCGTATGAGTGGACCTAATCCAATATGAATGGTGTCCTTATAAGAAGGGGAAATTAGGACACAGGCCTGTGAAGACACGGAGAGAGGATGGCCATCCTTAGTCCAAGGGGAAATGCCTCAGAAGAAATCAATCCTGCCAACACTTTGATCCCCAACTTCCAGCCTCCAGAATTGTGAGAAAATCAATTTCTGTTGTTCAAGCCACCTAGTCCATGGTACTTTGTTACAGCAGCCCTTGTTACCCTGTATGCCTGCTATTTTCACATCTCCTTTGTTCTCACATACTGCAGGGAGAATAGGAATGGAAGGTTTTGTTTATGAAAACTCTTTCCAAAAGTGCCAAGCTGTAAGGACACTGCTAGGATTTATACTTAGATCTCATCCATCCTTTGCAGAAACGTGAAGCTTTTTCTTTGGTTCCAGAGTTTTGCAACTAGAACAGACTCTATACCACAGATCCCAAACTGGTGATCCAAATGGGTTGAATCTGGTCACAGACATGCTCTGTGTTAGTCCCCACATATTAAACATCTTTTTTGAAATAGTGTCAAATGCTTAAAATTTGAGGGACTTTCACATTAAAGCCCATATTTCTGGGTTCTCTTGGAAAATCAGAAGAGTCAGCTTCACTGGGCCTCCCTGGCAACAGTCTGTGGGAGTGAAGTAGTCCTCTCTTTAGATGGGGCGTGTATTCTCCACTTCCTATAGTCCCCACCCAGACTACTGAATTCATTTACCTGACCCCGTTCAGCATTTCTGTCTGTGAGTCTTGTCAACTAAAAAGGGCAAAAATCTGTTACTCTTCACCTTGCAGAGAGTAACCACAGAATTTCCCCTCGATAGCAATAGATATGTTAAGTGTGATACTTCCTTTGCCTTTTGTTCAACTAGCAAAGCTTGTATCACATTCGTCTCTTTGGATCCTGATTAAAAGTGGAGCATGAAATTGAGAGCATGCTGCTGTAGGAAAGGGTTGTAGAAGCATGGAAGGCTCAGGCTTAGGAAAGACTGAAAACAAGAAATGAGAGGACTAGCTGTCCTTGGCCTCTGGCAGCCTGACCAGATGCTCCAAGTAATTAGCACCCCGGACTGCCAACAGTATTGCATTCACAAAGGATAACTTAAATTGCCAAGAACAGCAAGGCAATTGTTCTTGCTTCAAGGTCTCTGGGATGGAAAGCATGTAGAATCACACCTGCATGGTGGAGGACACGGTCTCTCTTGTGCTTCTTTGAGATGAATTGATGCCATTGAGCAAAAGTCTGCATGAAATGTCTTATTCACCTGTTCTCTTCCTAGGACATAAGAGAAATTGGTTTAAGATCTGATTACGTTGTAAAAAACATTTTGAATGGTTCTGAAGAGCTAAAACCGGTTTTGTTACAAGTGAAAGAGCTACGAACAACTATAATAGCCATAAAAAGAAGAGCTTATGACAAAACCAACATTTCCTCAAGAAATGGAAGGAAGGAGCAGAATGTCCCTTTATGCCATGTCCACTGTATTGAGCAACTTTTCACAAGGCTGCATCTGTAAGGATGGTAGCCATGATAGGAGGAAGAAAGGAAGAGCTCAGAGAGAGTTCACCATTCCTCTTTCTGATAAAAGAAAGGGGGGGGGGGGGGGAGTGTCAGGAAATGGAGAAATACAAATAGGTCCCACAAAGATACATCACTTACTTCTCTTACAGTGATAAAGGGAAGATTTTCTTTTTAAAAAAAAATTTTTTTTTTCAACGTTTATTTATTTTTGGGACAGAGAGAGACAGAGCATGAACGGGGGAGGGGCAGAGAGAGAGGGAGACACAGAATCGGAAACAGGCTCCAGGCTCTGAGCCATCAGCCCAGAGCCGACGCGGGGCTCAAACTCACGGACCGCGGGATCGTGACCTGGCTGAAGTCG